GGGGGAAGAGTTACAGCAGCATTATCATATCTATTAATGACCTACCTGAAAACCAACATTGCACTGATATTTTAATTAATTTTTCATGCTGCATAGCACAAACTGGGAAGCAAGTGAAAGTTTCTGTGCTGAATGGTGCAGAAGACATCAGCCAGCATTTTAGTGACAAGTTAGGTAGAGAACTTAAGATGTACAGACAGACAAGTCAGCCAGCATGCAAGCAAAGACAGCCACTTATTTTTTTTGGCAAATACAACTGTTAATTGATTAAATAATGGTAGTGGTATACTTGTCAGACAGTACTGGCATTTTCTTAATGGCACAAACAAGAGGTCACACTAAGTATTTCTTGTCTTTAAAATGTATTCTGTTGCTCAATGTATATTTACAAGAAACTAAACTGAACTAGAGCAGTGCAAGCCAATTTCCAGCTGTAATATTTGGCTTTCAGTCTTGACTGGGGAGACCAGGAGAAGGCTAGGGGGATGGGGAGTGATAATATTCCCCATTGGGGCTTAATACGTACTTCCTCATGTATACATTATAAGGAAATAACTTTTTTTTTAAAAAAGGCTGAAAGATCATACAAAAGCTGTATCACTAAGAACTCTGAAGCAGAGTTCAAATTTGTGTTCAGCTTTTTTCCAGTTAAAACACTGTTGATTTGCCTACAGAAAGCAAAATATGTGCAAAGCAGATGATTTTTTTTTTGTGAAGAGGGTCCTAATTTACAGCAGCATAAATAAAAAGTCATGTTCTTGCCATGAATTTCAATGACACTACAAAAATGCAAAGAGGCTTCCACAAGGCAGGCAAATCAAGCCTTCACAAAGAGTGGCAGGGTATCTAAAAAAAAGATGGTTCTGAGAACAAACCTGTATCAAGCACATAACCTACCAGGTTTCATGGGAATAATTCCTTAACTAGAATGAATGAGAAACAGGCTGAGTTACACAAGGCTTAAAGAAAGCAAGATCAATTCTCAAATTCTTAAGGTGATTCATGCACAATTTTACAATCATCTTACATTTTTCTTCACATAAAAATTGCTTTAAGGATACAATTCAGTTCAGCCAAAGCTTACTTCTATGCCTATGGCAGCTTCCAGAGGTGTTAATGGAAATAGCTAAAGAATACCAACTTCTGCCGCTTCAACTGCCAAATCTGTCGCCTTCTGTAGAACAGTGATAGAATTGGGTATGTTACATTTTCTGCACACAAAGGGTATGCAAACAAATTCCTGGGGGGTGAATTTAAAGTGCAGCAGTACAGCAGGCAGAGAGTTACCTGTGCTTAGTATAAGCAAACACTGAGGATGTGTTGTGTGCCTTACAGTCTATAATATTTCCATGTTTTAGATGCCTCTGTGATACCAGGAAAGTCTTCCTTCTACTTAGGATTCACATCTCTGAGCATCTTCTGCAGATGTGGGCTTTAATGCCTTGAGAAATTTGGGAAAAAAAGGACAGGTCTAGTCTTCTACCAGTAAAACACATAACTGGTGGATCTGTAAGGGGCTTGGAGCTCTTCCTCCCTACCAAGGGAGTAGTCTAACAAGTCTAGGAAGAAAGGTTTAGGATGCGGGATTTGCATATCTTCAGGTAGAGAAGGGAACTCATACCATCTACAAAGTGATAGATACCTTTTTCTCCAATGCTTTAAAAGACCAGCTAGGACTACCTTCTATACACGGTTAGATCTTCTGCATATGTTTTGAAATTGCTATCTGAAGGGCTTAATATTATAAGCAAAGCCAGAGGAATATCTAATTACATGTACCAAAGAAGGCTATGTTTCAGATAGGTGCCTTGGTGTTCAGTTCTACCAAGACAGGCTCAAAAGCAGACCTTTAGATCCCTAGGAATTTTAATAATGAAAAATTAAGGCTGGAAAACTGTAAAGTTCAGGTGCCTCTATGGTTAGGCAACAGTTCACTAAGTAAATCTCATTTAAGTCCCCTCTTTAGATACTTAAATACTCTTATGAGTCTGGGATGTAAGATTGGTCACACACTGTACTACTTCACAGAGCGAGGGGCAGGGCAGAGCTTATGATAGATATTATCCATGCATCAGGCTGAGAAGACATTTGTATAAACCCTTCCTGCCTAAAATCTCTCTTTGCAGATGATCTTAGTTTATTTTTGGCCAGTCTTTCATTGGTCAAGTCAACTCAGTATTTAACTAGTACGGAGAACTGGATTTTATGTATTCCAGAAAACACCCTATGTGGTTAATTGATCAGTGCCTTACATAAAAAGCATTATATGAAATCACAGTACAGTATCCTAATTTAATTATCCCCATTTAATAATATTTTGGGATATTAGTATAAGAAAGTAGACCTGACAACAGGAAAAGGAGTACTAAATACTTCTGTAGTGGAACTTCAAAAAGTATCAGTAAAACTAATTTCAAAACGATGTGATTTCCCGCCCCCCCACAGTAAGATACCCTTCACTGAAGGGAATTGTGTAATGTAATACCAGTGGATCTTGATCATTTGCAAAAATTATCCTTATGACTGCTACCATTCTAAGCTTTCTATTTTCTCAGTACTTACCTAGGACTGAATTATATCTTCATGTAATGATACATCCATTTAGGAATATAATATTTCTTTATCTCTGTCTCTAGTATGATTTAAGATTAATGTTGCCTAAGGTTTTGCTTATCAGAAAGCAAGCCTTCCAGGTTTAAAGTTCTTTGAATCTACTTCTGTCTGGGAATCTGAGACAAGCTACAGCACATGAAAAAGCATGATTTCAGATTCTTTAACAGGTTGTTCCTTTACAACAGGACACCCATACCTAAAACCATAAAACCTGTGATCCCTTAGTTCCTTTTCACCTGAGTCTTTGTTTTCATGAGCAAATATGTAACAACAGATTGAAAATGAGCTCATTAAAAAATGAGTTTCTATTTTACTGCAGTGGAAAGTCCAAATCATGTTTTACCAATGTTGCCTGAGCCACAGTCTATGCGGATGCTCTTTGCTTAAAGAATCTTTGAAAATTTCAGCTAAAACCAGTACATGTTTACATAATCTATCATAACCACCAAAGAAAGCAAAATCCACCAGAAAAATTACAACTACTGCACACCCAGTGGCTGTGGATGTACCAGACCAGTTTCTTCTCTTTCTCCAGGCTTTCACAGCTGGGACAGCAGAGGCACATAAGGTAAGAAAACCCTACTGTACATCCTTCTCCCATGCACCACACTGATTTCACTGTGACAGGATCCTTTTCAGCCCCTGTGTAGGGCAGAAGGCAAATCAGACTACACTGCTGTTTTGACTGTCAGTGAAACAGCATTAAAATGATCACATTAGTGCTCCATGGGTGTCTGAAATGAATACTCTCTGGTCTTCAACTGTTTATCTTGTTTATGCTGTTTAGGGAAAGGAACAACACTGAAAGGCAGCATGCCATTTTGGGGTGACAAAATTAAAAAATGTATTTCACTACAAAATTTTTTCTCTTACTGCATCTTTTCACCATAAAACAATGACTAGCTGTTTCAAACATGGAGCTTATTTTGAAAGCTAGATTTAGAAATGGGCAGAGTATAATTTTGTATTTTAAGAAAGTCAAAGATTTAATGAAAAAGAATTCTAGGAATAAATTAAATTTAACATTTAAATATACTACATCTACAGTTCCTATTTTTAATACATAGTAAATTTCAAATTTTAATATTGAGGACTTTAATGAAGTCATTTTACACTCCTATTTGAAATTTCTTTTCATTCTGTCTCCCCAAAAACTACACAAAGTCAAGTCATTTGGGTTCCTAGGTGACACCATTTTGAAATGGAGGATACAATCAAGGAAAAGGTCAGGGGACAGGGTCTTACCTTTGGGAAATCAGCTTCTAGAGTGATTAGGAAGGGGAGCTTATGACAAAAATGTGATACGAAATAATTCAGTAGAAAATAGTTACATTTAAAATTTATGGAAACAGAGGAAAATTTCTCTTACAAATCATACTTTGCTTGTATTTAATATTTTCTTATTCCCATAATAACTCCGTAGCACAGATAAAATGTCATTGCTTCATTTTACATTTGTCTGGACTAAAATTTAAAAGTATTTAACTGTTTTGAATACAAGTGAAGTAGGCAGAAAAATGAAAAGAAGTGATGCAATCTCAAATTATTTTCACTCCAAATATTAGTAGATTGCATTCGGACTACTGGTTTCTTCATATGGATATTTCCAGGGCAGTCATGACCACTTCTTTTTCAAGAGGAAAGAGAAAAGCGAGCAGAACAAACACAACAGCTGTTGTGCAATATCCAGGTGTACACTGGTGGTTCATTACACAAGCACCAGGCATGCTCAACTTCATTTTCAACTGTAGCATAACTAAGTAGCATGCAAATATTTGCAATTTTATTTTTTTTTAATAAATAGTGAATTTGTGTTTTGAGCTCAGAGTATTATGACTGAACATAAATAAAAGGAAAACTCAAGAAATAAAACTACAAGGTGCTAGAAATCTTTCTAATCCCTAGCAAAATATTCTAATACTGGTTTGACACCAATATATAAAGTATAATGCAGTAAAAAAAAAAAATTCAAACCTTTTAGAAGGAAAGCTTGACTCCTTATCTTTTGTGTTCTCTGAAGAGATCAATAATGTCTTCCACACAGCAGTTTTTGCCATTTCATCAGAAATGTTTATCACAGATGGGTCATCTCTAGGCAAGAATAAAAGTAAATACAAATTAAACAATGAGCAATCACTCTTTGTTACTTATTAACTCTATGAAATTCCGTGAAAACTGATAGTGATGACAGTAAATAAGTGCAATGTAAGTTAAGAAATTATGTTAAACTTCAAAAATCCTGAACAATTACTTAAATATTCCCTTAAAACATCTTAGCACATTTTTAGTATTTTCCATCTCCAGCAGCAATTAAACACAGTAACATCAATGAAATATATTGTGTCACTTCCAACTAATAGAGAAAGAAAAATGAGGAACTGTGAAATTAAATATTGTCCAAGATCTCACAGCATGCCAGTGGCACAGTTGGATTAAACAAGAATCCTAAGAGTTCCTAACAGTTCTCAAAGTACTTATGCTCTGAAACTGCACCTGCTTTTAAAACAATTTTAAAAGCAACCAAAAACCTTAACAAAGATTTAAGAGATCTAATAAAAATGTCCCAATTAAACAAGCTAATCAGCACTTTGTAGCCATTATGCCCTTAGCTTTACCTAGACTGCTCCAAATATGTATTTATACACTTAAGAATAATAGTCTTAAATGTTTTAAGGGCCTGCCTGTACATTATTCCTGAGTCCACGATTTACGTATGGCTTGACATTCAGTAAGCCCTCAGTAACCTTGTTTTCACAGTGTTTTGGGGAATCACTTTATCAACCGATGTCTTGACTCCTCTTTTTAGCTGTAGGACTGTGACCCTTACGGTACAGAAAGTCAGATAGCATTCAGTCAACTCTACCTAAGTAAACACACTATAGATCAATATAGATGACATCTCAAGATAAATTAAGTATTGCTAACATAAAATAGAACAAAAAGGTATGGACAAAAGAAGAAAGAAACAGACCATTAGAAGTGTGATGAATCAAAAGCAAGAAATACGCTGGGATTTTTCAGAGACACAGTTAGTTATCTGCCTTAGGAGACATTAGGGTAACTTTGTGTTAAAATATACGAGAGGAGGCCACTCAGAGAGTGTTCCTATGAATGCACATTAATGCGGAAGTTGCTATCACCAGATATTTCAAATCTTTATTAAGAACGCTGTTTCTGAAAATTGTAAATGTAAGTAAGTCCTTATGGGCTGGCCACATGTATTATTACTATCTATAACACAGGTCCTCATGCTTTTTAAGTTGTGTCAGCCCTGCGTTATGCCTTATCTACCTTGGACAGCTCTTGATTCACTTGCTAGCTCACATAGATAGGTTCTTAAATAGAATGTTTTAAAATGTAATATTGTAAGAACCTACTTTTTCATGGCTCCTTGCTAGTATCAAGGTGAAGGGTTTGACCTGCCCTACATCTTGCTTTTGCACTGTGCATGCCAGAAGCCAAGGTTCATTATGAATGGCCTGATGCCTCCATCCCGCCCAAAAGAAAACTTCAACTAGTGTGTCCTTTTCCTAGGGACTGTGAGATCACATGGAAAGACTAGAAAAGGGCTGAGCTTGTTAAATGCTGCAGAATATGGTTGAGTTCACCCATCTGTACTCTACTACCAGACAAACATCCTCCTGACATTCAGTAAGCATTAAGAATAAATATGGTGGCATGTTTATTTTATTTGTTTAATTGCAACTCACCTAAAAGAGGAAAGGTATATTTTACCTGTAATGTCCTTCTAGTGGTAACTGAACAGTCCCTTCCTCTTCCATTGCTAACATACTTTGCTCTTCCTAGAAGGAAGGAATTTAGACATGAGACAGGATATGATGTTGTGAAAAGTGAAATTTATGTACTTTAATCCTCTTTCCCCTTTAAGTATTTCTTTGAAGTTCTTAAAGTAAGATACTTTTCAACTCTTTTAATTTAAATATTTGACATTTAAAACCTTCTATTTTGAAAGATGTATCTTCACTTAGTGTTGTTCTTCAATACCAAATAGAGGAGACACTTTTGTAACAATAAAGAAATAGAAAAATTAGTAACCCTGAGTGAGCAACTGTATGGTGAATTTTAAATATCATGCACAACAGGATATACACATTGCAATGTTAACCTGCAAAAATTAGAGAAGTCACATTTGAGTTTGCACAGAAAGTTTTCATACTGATAAAGTTTTATTGCAGTGAAAGGTAGTGAAACAAGACACCAAAATTAGTTTTCACTTGAACAGGGGAAAAAACTTCCATGAATAACAAGTGAGGAGAACTCGGGAGATATCTACCAAAAATCTTTTTGTGAAATAATTACAAATTTAGAAAATTTATCTTAGGGGGAGGGGAGAACAAAACAACACCCCTCAAGCACCACGTCCTGCCTGCAAGAGCAAAGGAAAGGAAGTCCTTGTTTTTCAGACATCAAGTCAAGGCTCCACAGGAGGATTCTCAAGGCTCACACCTATTAGGACAGGAAAACCACATCCAGGAGGTTAACGTGCCTTCACATGAATGTAACCATGAAATCCTGTCCTAAACTGTTGCACTATGTGTGTATGAGTGTGACACTCAGAGACTTCCACATCTTACTTCCCTTTATTAGATGGCTTTATAACAGTTTACCCTGGTGCCTGTTTGAAAGTGTGAGTTGGCTCTCCCAAAAAGAGAGCTTACCATTTTCTGGCAGAGTATCCAAAACCCCACATGCATCACACACACTGATAAATTGGTATTAGCTGGAAGAGCCAGTACAATTTTCCAAAATAGTAGAATTTAAGTCCTCTCTGCAAAGAAATTTGTTTCTTCTATATTTTACTATTACAACTATTTTAGAAGTCACAACATTTTTTTCTCTAAATGGGAGAAGTCACTTTGTTCATTCCTGTCTCAGAAAGACTTAATTGATTAACACAAAAGTGGTTTCCAAAGGAGGTCTGTGAGGAGAAGACATGTATAATATCCACTATAAATGAACAAAGTCTTGGAAAAACATGGCCTAAAAATACAAAAAAAAACCTTAAGTGATGAAATTAGGATCCAATCAAGTAAGTTTCAGATCTTGTCAACTGTATTTCTGAATATTCTTGTGGGTAGAATACTTCTATTTTTAAAAGCCGTGTGATAGCAACTCTCCAATTAATTCCTTAGGCTACATGTCAGAAGTTTTATTACTAGTTAATTTTGTCATTTCCAGGCTTCACAGCTTCCTAAGTTTTTGACAGTTGAACAGTTTTAATAATAGCTCCAAATATTTAGAAATGCCAAAATATGTAAAAATAATCTCTCAAAATAGACAGTGAATGAAGTAAAGTAACACCAGTAGATTTTACCAGTTTTGTTTTCTGATGCCATCCTATCAAGCATGGGAAGGAAAGTGACATATAAGCAAAACATAAGGATAACAAAGAATTCTCTCCAATAACCAGACCCACAAGAAGAAAGCTACCTTGGTTACTTTTGGTTATTCTGAATTGTAATGACAACAGATACTGTGATGAAACAACTCTCTGGTCTGTTTTGATTCAAGGGGGAAAACAATGACTCACATATTTTAATTTCAGCCTGGCAGTTTTACAGGCACATACTAAATAGTAAATAATCATCATGGTGTTTATCACCTAGGTAAAATCTTTTCCCCAAAACGTGTTCTATGAAAGTATGTCGAATGTGTCAAAGAAAGCAAAGTTATACGTCTCCAGGTTACAGATGAGGCAGTGAGTTGTCAAAGGTCACAGAAGAATCCTAAAGGCAGAGAAATCTAGTTTTCATAGTTACATGTTCAAATTATTAGCTCATGTCCTATTTCTGCAAATAGACTTACCAAAGGGAATCCTTACACACACCTTTTCACTGGTGTCAGATCACATCTCAGGGCATCCCTAAGGATAAATTGCTGATTTTTCCATTCACATTGTCTAGTTTTTGCAGTAACCTTGTACCACCAAAAGGTTATCTCTCATGGGTCCTGGGCTTTTGCAGAGCTCTTCAGGGCATCTTAGAGGTCACAACTCTCCCCAGAGCACTCTTGCCTAGAAGTGACCACAGCCTGCCAAGACCATATGGCATCATCTGCACCTTCACCTCCCACTGCTGCCACAGCCTCACACCATGCTGCTATTCAAAAGTGCTGATGCAGGACACGACTCTCGTTTAAAATAACCTGGCACCAACATATTCTCCCCTACTACTCCTGCAGTTCATGATTCTCCATCAAGACTTGTCCCTCATTTATTTGGGCCCAGTACTGAGGTTCCCTAACAGTTGACATTGATCTGGTGGCTGATACCAGCAACAAAAGAATACCATCCCTTACACATAAAGTTACTTTATATTCCCACAGTTTTATATGATATTCAAACAGGCAATTCATGAAGCAGCAGTGAGGTGAAAATATATCAAAAAGATGCAAAACTGGTTAGAAAGCTACAACCAGAAAGATCAGTGTTTCACTGTCAAACTACAGGAACGTTCTAAGTGGAAATGTGTAAGAATTTGTCTTGTATCAACTTTATATGAAATAATCTGAAGTGCATATTCTTTGAAAGGAGACGAGGAGTCCAGATGTGAAACAGTCAACTGGGTGGTAGTAACAGGTTGTAAGTAAAAGTCTGAGGATTTGGTTAACAGGGGTAAGCAGTGTCACTGACCTTTTCATTAGAAAGTAGAAGTAAATTGTTCATGCAGTAGCAGAAAGAAAATGCTGGCCCAGAGTATAATAGGCATAGCACACAGGGTTATCACACCGCTGAGCGGAGAGGGCACAGGAAGATGCTGTGTGAGCTATGTATGGCTCAGATGTAGCTGGGACATGCCATGCCCCTTAAATTCTGCAGTGCTCATCTTAGCATCTCCAGCAGGGATGAGATCAGTCCCAACACAGCATCAAAGTGCCCCAGGTATCCGAGGGCTTTCCTACAGACACAGGTTCATCCCTGCACATCATCTGAGTGGCTCTCAGGAGCAATCCTCAGGAGCACTGTAGATACTATGTTACGTGACAGTTACGGCAGTGTAAGAATCTACATCTAACAGACATCCCCAGCTAAGCCTGTAAGATTTGTAACCTTAAAAGGACTTACGTAAAATACGACATTACACTTTGGATACCGTTAACAAGTCTGCCTGTTGCATGGAATAGGTCTTATTTATAGAATTTTCTCTAAATGTCTGAAGGAGAAATTGATAAAGTGTTACACACCAAAAAACTCCCTGAAACCATGACCCACCTCTTTCTCAGCATCTTCCAGTTTCTTCTTCTTGCTCTCGGGCATCAAATCATCTAACCAACTGAGCTCCCGCTTAGTGAAAAAGAAATCCATGAGTTTTCGGACAAATACCAAAGCTAGGACCTGTAAAGATATTAATTCAAAGAATTAGGAAATTAAGCAAGTAAAACTGACAAAAACGCTTGTAGAGGAATACTTTCAAAAGTGACCACAGCTTACAGCTAGATTTTTATCCTTTAATTTGGATAGGCCAACAGCTGGTCTTCCTTTGTTCAGATGAAGTATGGCTTGAAGCATTTAACAATCAGTGAGGTCACTAGATATCTTTTATTTTCAATTAGTGAAATAATCAGAGAGACATCACTTAAGCAGCAGAACAGATTTTTCTTTTATTTCCAGGAAGACACAGAACTATCAGTAAAGTTCCTCAGTGCAATGAATAATCTTCCTTAATGAGTGAATGTTCTCTCTGTAAAATGATTAAGCATTACTCCTTAAATAAAAACATCAAATAAATTTTAATTATTTTTTTTAAGAAAATAATTTTCCCTAAGAGAATATTCAGTTGGACTATCCACACATACAAACAGAGTGCAACCCAGGCTCAAACTAGAGAATTATATAGAATTTATATATAAACATATATATATTCTATATATGTACAATTTTTCCTTACTTAATACAGTATGAATTGTCCTTGAACATTGAATCAAAGCAAAACTGTAATTACCTGCCCAGAATTAATTTTTTTCTTCAATAATAAATTATCCACAAGTAAAAAAAAAAGGAATTTTTAGAGGAAATAAAAATTATTTCATACCATCATAGGAAAGACAATGGCAGCTCTGGAAACCTTTATAATCCACAGAAGCACAAGACAACTCAGCTGAATTACAGTGAAGAGATGGACCTTTCTAAGAGGAACATGCCTCAGATAAATAAAGTCTGGCTGATGCTTTGCAGGCATCCAGAATAACTTTATCCTGTCAAAAAGCTGAAAGAGAAATTTTAAAAAGTTTGCATCAAAATGAGCTGTAGGATCATCTATGCTGACATTCACACACTGCCTAAGAGACCCTGAATGTCCAAAGAATCTGTCTTGTTATTCTAAAGGCAAAAACTGTGCAGAAGTTCAGGAGCACAGAAAAAGACTACTTCAGTTACAATCATGAGTCATGAATCTATACTAGTCCAACAGTGGTAAAGGACTCATCTTCTCTCTGGTTGAGCCACCAGAGTTAAGAATGAGAATCATATTATTTAAGTAAAGTATAATTACTTGGTTAGTCATATTTCTTAAGTTCCCTTCCATTTTAATACACATTTGTCTCTCTAGATATTTCTATTGCAGATGTGCTGAGATACTGGAACCATATATACTCCAGGAAACATTCTGCTCCTAACTGAATAATATGTTCTACACAAAGAAAATAGTTATTTTAAAATGGTACCGCTAAGATTTTAAATCAAGAACTCAAATGAAGAAGTTAGGCAAAGCCAGACTTCAAAGTAGTCATGTATCAATTGTGAATCAAACTGAATGGAAGCTGGTTGATCCTGTTGGGCATACACACTATTAGACTGCCTTTCTAATACATTCTAAACTTTTGTTTTTCAACAACTGAGCTCTGCTTCCTTTAGCATACAAAAAGTTGATCATGGAGAGATCTCGTCAGTCTTTTATCTCCTGTGGATGAAATTGATTCCCCGCCCCGCACCCCCCCCCCAGTTTCCTTCCCCAGACACTCTATCGCAGGCTGTTTTCTTTCCCCTATTGCACTTTCTTCACAAAAACAGGAACAACAAACAACCACAAAAAAAAAAAGAAAAACGTTTAAAAAAAAGTGCCAGAAAGCCAACTGCCATGCTGTTAGGAATGTACATGAGAGGTTCCTGTTTTTCAGACCTCTTTGGCTCCTGACTGACCTGAGACTTTGTGTCAGCTGCTATGGCACAGTGATGATGGTGATGCACCATTTCTCCCTGCATGGATGAGCCATGCTATATTCACACAGTCTTCAGGAATTTCAGGTTTCAAGAATTTTTATTGAGCATGTGCAAACTGCATTTTTTTAAAGGCTTATAATTTGGCCAGATTTGAGCAGATTTCTTCTTCACAGAAACAGCAAAAAGCACATCCTCCCACAAAAGCCATCTTATCAAATCTCAATTCCTTGTCCCAGCTTGGGGGAGGGAGAAAGGGAGGGAGATGCTATCACTTCTCCAAGTAAAGATAGCCAGATTTTAGTATGCCTTAAAAACACTCCTCAATAGTGTACTTTCTCATACCCTTGTTCTGAGAAACAGTTGAACCATATTAAGTTGAAATCTAAACCTCAGTAAAACCTAAACTACACTTCTTAGAATATCAACCCAAATGATAAGAGCTAGGTAAAGTTATAAAAGAAGAGCCTCTGAACAGAAAACACCAGTCAAAAAACAAGAGATGTTGCCAGCTTTGTCTATAAATAATAGAGGTTAAAAAAAGCAAGACATCTTTAACTCGCAATCAAAAATTTAAATACAATGAAAGAAAGAATCAGATGTTTTCTTTGCTCTTTGTATTTGACAACCTTTTGCACAGTATAATTCATGTTTTTGTCATGTGATTGTTCTTTCTCAATTGTCTTGGAAGGTATATCAATACCTCAACTTCTGATAACAAACAAAGGCACACTTGAAAATTTGAGTGTTTCAGATGGGTTAAAAGATTTGACACCATGCATTTAACGCTGCAGTCATCCAGGAGAAATGGTACATAGGATACCACTACTAACCCTGACCTGAATGCTGGAGTGCCTGGTTTCTGCTGCCCTTCCACTAGACTTGCCCCTTCATCCCTAAGGCCAGAAATTAAGTAGCATGGGACTTGCAACAGTTCCACTCCCCTGCCTGTGGTACTTATTTGCACAAGAAATATCTTCAAAATCTTGCCTATGTTAGGTTTAGGGCAAGTTAGCCAAAAGCCTCGTATAGACAAAGTTCAAGATCAAGTGTACCACTACAAAGGCCCTAACTTGGAAGCTGAAAAGGCAGTGGGCAAGCAAGTGAACAAGGAGGCAAGGGAGAGGGAAGAGCTCCTGATAGTTGCTACTCTGTTTTTAGGCTCAGTCAAAATTCCCTTGATAACACGGGAGAACAAAAAAATCACCACCTAAAAAATAAAAAATTGGAGCACACTACCTAAAGGGAATACTCTATTTAGAGATAATCTATTTTTCTTTTCAAGTGAGTCACTTTCAAGAATTTCAGACTGGCAAGATTCCTTTACGATTATATACAAAAGATAATGAAATAATGTAAGAAGAATAGCTCCATATTTTATAGAAAGCATCACCAGTAACACACTCTTCATAAATCCATTTTACCTGAATTCCCTTTAGAGATGAAGCACCCATGTAAAGAAATACTCCATAAAGTACTGGCATAGGAATAAACTGCACAAACAAGCAGAGAAAGGGAAGAGCATATTAAATACCATTTAACAATTTTTAATGCTTTCAGAAAGACATTCTAAACAGTTGAAATTCAAAGTGCCATATGCCTGCATTAATCAGACAAGTTGTAAATTCAGAGTCACTCAATTACAAATTAATAACGTTCCTCAGAGCATAAAGCAAAAGAAGAATCTGGCTCTATAGTTTTATTTTCCTCTCATAGTCAGTTATTACAATACACTTTATTCACTATTAATAAAACTAACAGAACCAAACGAAAAATAAAAATGTTTGAAACATACTTTTTCTTTACTTACTTTACATACAATTCTTTACTTAAAAGAGCGCTGAGGAGCGCATCTGAATAGTAAAGCTATAATCCTTAGAAAATGTTCAAGACGCACACAAAATACTTCATACTGCTAAAGGAAATGTTCTGTGCTGTAAGCATTTAAAAATGGGTGAATGACTTTTACGGAATGATTTGGTAAGAGACTATTTTTAATGTTCAGGCTCTCAGTATATGGTGTGTAGGTAAAGGAGTATTTCCATCGATAAGTATCTATTTTAAATACTAAATACACAAAACGCATGCTCTTTGTGTTTTCAGAGTTAAGGTTTTATGATATACTTAATAAAATACTACTGGGAAGTACAAGTTCTAAGGGCTTATTGCCTTCACTGTGACAATATGCAAGTCCAAATTCCGGTCTTATTGAAGTCAGTAGCAAAACTCACAGTGAGTTCACAGAGGCCAGATAATTCTTAAAAACTCTAAGTATTATGTATATAAATGGTATCATATATGCATATAACTAGACACCCAGGTTCAGGACACTGATGAGCTATGTTGTGTATGTAGGTAGCATGAGAGAATTTTCATGTTCATTTCCAAGAAATGGACCACAGAACTTCTCTTGCAACTGTGAAAATATTTTTAAGTTATCCAGAAATCACAAAATGTTTTTAAATTTTCTAAATACATTTACTTATTGGTATAACTCAGAAAGACTGTTTCATGGTAATTTTCCATGGACCCAAAGTATAGACAAAGAGTGACTCTTCATATACTACAGGTCAACGACAGAATCCCCTTTGACTTCAGTCAGGCCAGATTTTCACTACAAGGTTTTTGTTTTAAAAATGTTAGATGTCCCTAGCAATTTTATTATGCAAAATTAGAATTCCACTTTAGATTACGATTGTGTAACATTATGCTAGTTCATAATGTGCCTGGAAAGAGCACTCATTAAATAATACAGTAACAACAGTGAAATGTTCGGTGTGGTGCAGTATTCTTTAGCTTTTTCTTACTTCTCCAAATTACCTTCAGGATACTTGTCAAAAAGACAGATGAGCCCATAAGGATAAAAATCATAAGCCCTGTGACTCTTTGCTCCCGGATTCCAAGAAATTTTGGCTGCTCCCCTGGAGCGGAGCACTCTGATTCCAGTTTTAAGCTATTCACATGGGAAATAGAGAGGACAGTGGCTGCAACAAACCACGGCAATCCCATAATAGAGCACACTCCAAGCATGACTGCCACCATGAGTAGGTCGAGATGGTATCCACATCCTTTCTGTTAAAAAAAGTAATGACAGCAAGAAGATATAAAATGACATCTGAATTAAGGAGAACACTCCTGGCAGGCATTCCTAGCGAACAGTTAGAGACAATTAAAAGATTTGTGACTTGCAGGAAAAAATAGCTTTCTTCTATGTATTATCCAGGTTGGGTCAGTAGTGATGGCAAACTGGTTATCTAAGGGGAATTCCTCCTAGTTGACAAGAAATGGTTAATGTTATTTGACTCATTCCAGTTCTGAGTTAAGTGTACATATCATCAATCCACTTTACAATGGGCACTAAATACCTTTCCTCCTTATAAAAGGGATACTAGTAAGACAATGGAAAATACATACATTTTCTGTGGTAACTAAATCTCTTCTGTAGATAACAGCAAGCAGAACATCCAGCTGCACTGCCAACTTTCCACTGCACTCATCTTAATAGACCCTCCACCCATCCTTACACAGGAGGCATAAAATTATGTATTTTCAACATTTGCAAAGTCAGTTTAATGCTATAAAGGGCCATAAAACCACACTGATCCTTTTAAAGTTTTTATAGATGGTAAGCATGGGATAGTAATAAGTTTTCACTAATGTACTTTCATCTTACCTAAGAACAGATAGCTAGAAATTAAGATAAATTAAACTATAATTAAGCAATACATTAAATTAAACTATAAAATAATATTCATCATTAGGTACTGTTTTACTGGTTTCCGTATCCAACACTTAAAAGCAGTATCATAAACATTCACATGAGAAGTCAGTGCAAAACCTTCGGTTTTGGATCATCTCTGTAGGAGTCAAATACTCCATAAATTTACCAACAGGAGGATGTTGCTTTGCTTTTGCAGTAGAGGATAAAACTCTTTGGTCAAGTCTTAGATACATTTAAAAACTTACAAATACAACCTGTGCTTGAAAATGACCAATCATCTGCATCAAGCTTGGTTGTATAGATATCTGTTAGCATAGCTGAGAGGGATATTTCTTTTCAATTTTAGTAAGTATCCAGGACCACCACGCAAGCTGCAAGTAGGAGCTCAAGTTATTTTCCTTTAAAAAGCCAGGTAGGCAGTTATTTCCACAAAATTTTGCAATATGGCAACAAATCCAATATCATGGTCTGATGAAACAGTGATGTTCATGCAAACAATGTGAATATGTTGAACCATAATTTTGCCTGTAAACCCATGCAAATGCCTTTTGACATAAAAAAAGTAACTAAACTAAACTTGGAAGGGTTTGCTACAGAGACTGCCAAAAGCTGAAATGTGCACTATTCAGAATTTGCTATGGGAAGTATAAAAAAAGGGGAAAATGAGTTGGAAGCAAACAAATCATTTCTTTCTGAAGACAACTTCTACTTCTAAAATGGGAAGCGTCTGGGTTTATGAAAATGTAAGCCACATATCGAAATGAAAATGCCATCTTATTTGCTTACATTATTTAAAAAGGGGAATTCATATAAAGTAAACGAAAACAATCAACTCTAGCAACCTTCCCTCACTCCCCAAAAGTGCTTATGAGTCTTATCTCCAAGACACATCTCAACAAATGCAGAGATGTGTCAAACACAGATATTAGTTACATGCACAATGCACTCAAAGAAAGAGTTTAATTCTAAATCCTAACAGAGACACCTTTTTTTACCTTCTGACACATTTATGAGGAATGTATCTGCTAATGCATACAGAATCCGAGAGCATTTCCTCACATTCATACATGATCTGAGGAACCTGACATATGGGAAGAAAAGGAAGCATAGCAACAGGTGATGCTACACCAGACCCCAGCAAAACTAAAACGTAGCAAGACAAGGGGGCAGCCAGGAGGACCATCTGACTCCCAGATGCCAGTGCTGAAAAAACACATTCCAAAGCTTGGCAGCAAATTCCTGCATCTGTCAAGTTAACCACATGCAATGCTATGGATTGACATGAAGAGCCAGGCTGACAAAGAGGGCAAAAAAAGAACATATCAAATGTCACAATCATCCAAGAAGAGGCAGTGCAAAGTGAAGGTTGCAAATGCATTTGCTAAAGCAACTTGGGATTGGATTGCTGCTTATTAAAAGTATGTCAAAAAAAGCCTAAGCTCGCTGCATATACATGTACAGAAACCTGCTGCTAGATTTTGCCCAACAGTTCTTCAGAGGGGTGATGTCCCTTTTTCTCTCTCCATCTGTAGGCAACTAAAGTGTTAGAGAACAGAGCAGGAAGTTGTCCTATGTTGTTTTAGGAACCCATTGTGCCACTAAAGCTCAGTTTTATTCTTCTCCCTTCCTTAAGACAGGAAGGGCATTAAAAAAAAAAAATGAATGGGTAGAACCACAGAGAAGGATGAAGAAAGGAAAAAATCTTGTACTACAAAATAACCCCTGAATATTTTTTCAAAATCCAATCCAGTGGAACAACGCTGTCAATATCTGAAGAGGCAATTAATATTATGGTACCTAAGAAAATTATTAACTTCCAGATTTTTTTTCTTTAGGTGAATGGTTATCGCAGTTCTAATAAAGCATAGAGGATAGCACTTTAGTGATTCAGAATCTCTGTTGCAAATTACATTCATAAAGACTTCTATAAGGCAGCAAATCACTGACAGAGAGCACAGGTTCTATATAGACCAAAAGAGAAAAAGCGTAACAATTTAAAGGGGTGCTACATAACATATAATAAATTAGCATATTCAAGTAGATGAAGGCACATTACATAACCTGAAGCAGAAAATGACAGTGAAAAAACAACTATTTGACTGAATACCTTTAGTTTGTGTTCTTTTCTATTGATAATGACAGCTGTGATCTGCTGGTCCATAAAGATAAGGATAGTACAAAGCAAGGCTGGAATTACAGCAGCTATCACTGTCCACCAAGGATTAGGCCCCAAGGGAGTAATAAACCAGCCACGATCATCTCTGGTGGGCTATAAAAACAGAGTCATGCATGACCAGTCAGAACTCTAAGGATTATTTACATTTCAACTTCACAAGAATACATACAAAATCATTACTAGGATATGATTTCCTTTAAAATCTATGTAAGAGCACAAAAAAATGCTAAACTTCCTGTGATACCAAAAAGAGAAATTACATACAATAAAATCATCTGGGATATCACAGACTTGGTTGTATTTGATACAATGAAACCAGAATTTGGAAGAAGTCCCAGAACATTAAAGTAGTCTAGGATCTGGGTAATTTGAGCCATGTTGGTCCGCACACAGAAGATACTAGGAAGCATGAAGGAGCCTGATGGGAGAGGCTCACTTATATGGGCCACTAATCAGAGAGGTTGCACAGTACTTGGTGAACACGAAAAATTCAGAATAGCATCACTACTCCCTGACGATAAAAAAATATAATAAACCCACTATAGAACAGTACTTTGTCAAAATAATAAGGCAGTGCAATTTATCAACAAATTACCTTAAATGCATTCGGAACCTGAAGTTTTGGTGATGGAATCCCAATGGCATAGTCAATTAAAACCATGGACAAAATAGTGAGGAAGACAGCAAAATCGCTGACAACAGATCGTACCTACGATTATTGAGAGAAACAACAATTTTAACTAAAAGATTCATGAGTGATTTAGATTTTTCTTCACTGTTTTAAGCCATTTTGTGCTTACAGCTAAACCCATGCTTATTCTGATACAATTTTCTAACAGAGAAAAGATGCAGTGTCCACTCCACCAGCAGTTAATTGAATTTGCAATGCAGATGGAATTCATGCTTACACATGACTCATGACAACTTTTGAATTAAAACAAGGACACACACCTTTGTTGGGAAGTATCGGCTAGTTTTGAACTGCTTCAGGGTGGATGACAGTGTTACCGTAGAAAAGAATAAGATGACAGACCAGAAGAGGACATCTGGAACATAAGGGCCATGATGACCACAGGCTCGTCCAACAAACTCTCCATGAAACTTTTTACATTCCTATCAAGGAGAGCAAAGTAGTATTGTTCTGAAAAATATCCATGCTTACATTGGTATTTTCTTTCCAATTACTTTCCTAAATTGCAAGCAGATTGCATTACTGGAAATAGTAAAATCATTTTTAGATATTTATTCTTTTAAAAATTCAAACTCTTAACTCTCAAACCCTCAAAAAGAATCTCTTTTTTAACCAGTATTAAATGATGAAGTCACTAAGACATACCATAAATAAAGTCATTAATATAAAACCAGATTTATTTCAAACTGAACAAGTACGCATATTTATTTTCTGTTTACAAACACAGGTTTGCGCTTCCAATTCCTTCCAAGAGAGGAAAGTGAAGTTCAAAAGCTACCAAGAGAAAGGCTGCTCCTGGTGCATTCTCAAGAACTGAGTTTTAACTTCACAGGCCAAGCAATACAAGAAAAAGCTACTTGGAATGTACAGTATTAGCCTAAAAGGAGACCAATACATTTAATACCACATGGGGGCAGCACATTCCACAAATTCTCTTTTTCTTAAAAAAAGCAATCTAATAAAATGCAGCAAAACCCAAAATTGATAACATGAATTCTATCCAATATAATATACAATCAAACATGCAGATACAGTAGAAAACATGTCTACTAATTCTCCAATACCATCCTTACTTATCTAAAATCATACTTGTACCAAGTTAACAAGCAGAGAAATAAAGAGTAACTCTAAAAATGTGAGCTACAAGCTCTGGACTCACAATCCTTTCCTTCTCCTTCCCAAATCCCTTCACACTTGTTAAGCAAAAAGAAACATAGCACCCAGAATCAGAGATTCCAGGCAGCAATATCCTGCGAGATCAGGATCTTTTAGCATCAGATGAACTGGGTCATTGGCTCATCAGACTCACGTCACAATACTGTGGCTTGACATGTTATGAGAACAAAGGCTGGCTTGAAAAAAACCACAGTTGTGATTTGATGACTATGAGACGAAGGAGTGCAAAACTTTTTATAGTGGTATAGCAGTAAACCTGGAATAAATACGAAACACTTCTGATTGATGAAATAAAGGTTTCAGTTGGGGGAAAAAAATTTTCAGGAAATCCAGAAGAAATTCTCAAGATTCTGGGACATCAAATAGGAAACTTGTCCTGGCCTGAGCTAGACCTTGATGTTGGCACAGTACAGGGATGAATTTCGGCACAGCACAGAGATGAATTTCATCACGCACCTACTGAAAAGGATTTTGTCACCATCAGAATAAACATTTTGCTTACGCTCATTTCATCCTAGATAGCAAAAAAAGTGTCAGTCCTACTGTTGTTTTTGAAGAGTACCAATCTAGATCTTCAGAAACTTGAAACTTTTAAATCAGACGCAAGAAACAACCAGAAGAAATGAGCAGTAAAAAAGACAGTGGGGTGAAACTGACCAAATATTTACAGACAACTGGGTCTAATCTTTTACTGCAGTTCTCTAGAACAGGAGAGTTGAAATTTCCTGATGATGCTTGCAAGAAATAAATACATGAAAGTATGAAAAATTTCCGTTACTTCTTTGACAACTATAGGGACTCATGGGAAAAGTCGGTCAGTTATTCTGCTACCCATGTAAACTCAAGTTTCAGTAATAAGCTTCTACAGAAGTTTTAAAGGGTTTTATATAATGCAGCCGGTCTTTTACATTTATAGTTAAAACAAAATCTGTTATTTTAAATCTCCTCAGCTGCAAATGTACTTTGAAAAACACTGTCAGAGATCTGAGAAAGTGAGAGGAGGAGTCTGCCCCTGCACAGATGCTCTTAAGAGTGTGCTGCAATTTTGAGAATATTCATTCTGGATTGCTGGAATCCCTCAGGCCAGCAGTTCTCAACTTCCTCTCTGCTGTTGCCACACCAACAGAGTTGAGGAGCAGTCCTTGCTATCAAGACAGAGCAGCCATTGAAGGCAGCTCTTGCTTAACGCATGATAGGAGGACACCAGTTCTTTCACATTCCTGCCTTTGAAAGAAAAAACTATATCTGCTGGAGACGGTCCATTGGATTGGCTTTTCAGCATTTCATTTGGTTATGCCTGCAATGAGGTTAATTCAGTTGTATTTTTGAGAGAACCCTTCAGTTTGGTGTCTTTGGCATTCAATTATCTTTGACTGTGTAATGAAATGATCCATTTGTGAGAAAAAGTGGTGGCCTGATCTCAATATGACATTTTAATCAAGTTGTAAACGTTGCTTTAAAGAACGCAAACCTGAAATAATAAATCCTTTAAAGCTAGAAAAGTGTACTGTTTAAAAACAAGTTACATATCCATGCAAGCTCCCCAAACCGTTTGTAGGGTGTTTCTCCACCACACACCACCCACCCCCAAAAAAAAAAAATTACACAACTAAGACGTACTTAACACAGAAGGCCTATGTAAGACACAAATTTTGTCACTGAACAGAAAATGTTACAAAATTTCTCCCCTTCCTGTCCTGTATAGCTTGAACAGCTGTAAGAGTGTTTTAGGGGAAATAAATGCTTCTGAGTCTTTCCACGCATGGGAACTTTGGTTTTGTCATCTGACAGAATTTAGGACAAATCCATTGTCATTTGACACGTTTAGACTTGATCTCTTGTGCTAGTGTGTCAACAAGTTTCCAAAGCAGGACACAAAATGCACACACGTGCTTTAGTATGTACTATCAAAGGCTGCAAAATGCTTACAAAAGGAGATAATGCTACAAAGTCTATCTTAATTTTTGTTCAGTTAAGTATATTTTATGCTTTATTTGAACAAATATAATCAGAAAAAACATCGTATTTTTTTCAATATATTTGCTGCAGTAGGAGAGACAAAATTATTTATGCTTATGCCTTTATTTATTAAGTTCCGTTATTTCACTTACTGACACAGTTAGGTTCCCCCATGGCACATCAGATGCAGATATATTGTAGTTCTGCCAGTATTGTAAGGTTTTATTGCTAGGATGTTCTGGTTCCACACAATTGCATCTGAAAAGACAAAATAATATTTTTTTCCTTAATAATAAAATACGTATCAACTTTATGACGTATTGAAATTGTGCTCTACTTTGCCAGATAATTTTAGTTCAAATTAATTCAGCAAATGCATGCTTTGAAGTAGTTTGTAGTTCAGTAGCTAGTGCTATTACTAGAGTATAATTTGCCGTGAGGTGCATATGCATATATAGTACGTAACATGACATGTTTAAACCACTGTCCACGGGAAGTTTTTCCACCTATTTTCCTCTTATTCTACTGATAGTTCCAAGCACAGTTTGTAATACTGAGAACATGCCAGTCCTGTTCCATTCCCTTATACCTAACACTTCCCTGAATGGGGGTTAGATGCTATGCACATTTCCACGCTGATCCATTTCTCAAATGCAATATCTGTATCTTCTTTCTTTCTCTTTACCAGAATGCCTTTGCGTGCAAAACTGCCAAACTGCCTGGTCAACTGTCAGGGCTCTGCAAGACCACCAGCACCAAAGGCTCCATGAACTTCTGTGTCCATTGTTTTCCCTTTCCCCACAGCTGCTTTAAAAGCATGCTTTTAATTTTAAACTGTGTATTTTAACATACAAAACGTGACGAGGCAGCGTGGGAGGACAATACTGTGAATAGGCAATTTAAAATCAAAATTAAGTCTTTCAAGCCTCTGAAGCAACTGTGGGAGGCTTTTTCTTTGACAAAGCTTTCAAAATATGCAGGATACTCTGTAGGTTCCAAGATGTCAAGTGTGCTTTGCAGTTCTACTTAAATTAAACTCACTTTAAAAATCTATAGTACTATCTATCCTGCTAGTATTTTAACGTGTTTATGATGGCTGTAAATAAATTCTGTGCTGTCCTTTCTGATAAAGTTTTCAAGAGTAGCTGGGGACAGGACATCTGACTATAGAGTGAAGAGCCATTAAGCATACATTTGCATTCCAGTTCTAGAACAGTATCAGTTTATTCATTTACCTATGCCATCTATTTTCTCTGTGGCTGTTTATCTTTCCACAAATGACAATTCTCATCTAGATTTGTAATATTTTCTATACAAGAAATTCTAACATCTACATTATGAGTACACAATAGTGCCACTGTATTTCGATTACAATACTATACATGTGACAACAGCTGCATTTAATATAAACATAGAGAGAGACGCAGGTTGTCTTTGTGCAACTCCTTGCTTTTATTTTAAATGCAGCTATTTATAAAAGAAATAAAAAAATCTTTACGGCCCATGAACAAAAAGCAAAAACAAAAAAAGCAACAGCATTTAGAGAAATAGAGGGCCTGAGCCAAAAGTCCTTGAAGAAGACTGGATCTTTCAAACATATTTCATACGCTTTGGATCAGGCCCCAAGTGCAGAATGAATGCGTGTTCAGTGAGTAGTTTAAAATATTACAAAATGGGTTAAATGAAGCACATCACTACTAGTGAGCTACGGTAGCATAATAAAGTCAGCAAACGGTATATGTCTATGTTATCGCAAGGGAGCATTTGATGTTCATGCAACAACACAGAGGTGGCTATTTCAGGTTACTACTGTTTCCTGTGAGCACAGGAGCTCCCTGCCCCCTGATGTCCATCGCTGATCGCAGACTGGCCAGACGCTGGGCGATGGCCCATTGGGGTTTGATTACAGTAGGCCAAGGTGATGTGGGCTGTTCAGTCACAGTCACTTTCTCACTAGAAGGGAAGACTCTGCATGTCACCAACACTACATGGTACAGCTACACTTGCTGCAAACTGCAAAATTACATTTAAAAGTTAGAGAAGCCAAAATTTCTATTTCCTTAGTTGGAAACGTGACAATTGAAGCTAGAGTTTAATACAGGTCAAGTAATTCACCTTCAGATGAGATCATCACTGTGTTTATTTCTATATCAATACCACTTTCCTCCTTCCTAGCATTCCAGTCTGGCCTTTACTAAGTTTCACGGGCATTTACCGATAGCAGATTGTTCATCAGCAAGTAAGTGGCTTGTGCAAATTCCACCCATGCAGACCAAAATCACCCTGCACCCAGCTTTTGTCACTGAATGGGTGCAGAATTAGGCCCTAACTGTAAAGATCAAATCCTGCTTTGTACTGAGATCATTCAAACAATGACCTCAGTGTTTTGATATATATAACATTATATTGTTTTCAATATTATATGTCTTTTGGCAACACTGATATTTTGATGTGAGACTGTACCATGGCAGAAATGTCTTCCAGTATCCCACTAATTCCTTAACAGTATAGAAATGTGAGATAGTAAGATACTCCCTGTCCAGCCCAGAGAACAAAACTGGAGGTACCGTTCAGCACCAGAACATAAACGATTATCTACAAAAATGTGACATTTCATAACAGATGTAAATGCTTCCACGATGACTATTTCCCAACACAACTGACCTGCAAGGAAAAACTCACATTAGTGAAATAAGGCTTTCTACTTTAACCTTTTAAAACTTTTAAGTCTCTTTCATTGTCATTTTTTACTCTGAGAGGCCAGCTCTGGGGAAAAAAAGTAAAATACTGAATTGTTAACCACTAACACATCTTTCTATTTTCTTTATACAGTATAACTCAGAAGGCTGGAATAAGTAAAAATGTGTTGCCTCTTGGAGGTTCAAATGCTCTTAAGTCCTTTTAAAGTTGTTAAAATTGCCGCGCACTTGCCCACTACAATAGATCTATGTGGAGTTTATGCTATTAGCAATGAGCAAGAGACTATACATACACCTGTATTTTCTAAGCAACATATTCAGATTCAGATACAGTACCAACTTTGCAACGTACTCCCATGCCTTTTAGTGATAAGGAGTCAGCAATCATCTTCATTATGCTAAAAGATACAGAATGATTAATTTTATTCTCTTTCATCATAGCTACTAAGAAACTGCTCTTTTTTCATGTCTAGAATACAGGCAGGGAAGAATCTGACATTGGTTCTGGTGGTAAAAGCATAGGTGTCACTACAGTGGAAAAAAAAAATTTCTATACCCATTGCATTACACTGATGACAAAACAATTCTTTTTTGCATCTTTACACTTTTGGCTACTGCAAGACATGCTGATCTCCTGGGGACAATTCAGATGTCTAAGCATGGGTGCCTATACACCCCATGGTATCTGTGAGATCCATGATGGGTTGGCACATATGTGAGAGGGTCTATGGTGACTCACGCTTTTGTTTTCACAGCAGCTGGAGGCTAAGAGATGTAAAATGGCACTGGATGCCCAGTCACAGGTCACTCCCTTCTGTATTTAAAATGTTCATATTTTGCAACCAGGCAGAAATCAGTGGAGCTTGCTTTCTTTCAGGGTATTTAAACATCTAATATAGCCTATTACAAAGTGGCTTATAAATCTGAGGTAGACTAATAAACCATTTCAGACAAGAGAGCCTTCAGGAAACTGCTGGAGAACTGTCATAAGATCAGAACTGACAAAAGGAGAAAGCAACAGAAAAATAACAGCCTGAGCCTGCTAGCTAGAAAAATAACCAGAGCAAGGAGTCTTAACTGCCTTTACATCTTCCAAGCTGCTCAAGAAATCTCTGGCAAATCAGGATGAGGAAGAAAGATAGATTAGAAATAATAAATTTTAGGACTGGTTGACAAACTGGTATCCTCTGAAGCCTGTACCTCTCTCCCTTTTACAGAAGGATCAAGACTTCAGCTAAATCTTCAGCACCAATCCAACTGTAACATGTCACTGATGGCACCCCCCTTCCCTTCTTTGTCCTCCCAACCTCCCCACATTTTTCCAAGCTCTTTTTGCTTTTGTTTCATCAGTCTCAATTTCATAAATTTCATTAACTTGAGGCAGCCATAACTACTTCACTGTGTGCAACATTTCCTATAACTTGTACTGTTTTCAAAGAACAGAGGTAAGATTTGACAACAGCAACTTCAGGACATCTCAACTAGCAGTGTTCTCTGTTCCACAAAAAGAAATAGTTATTACTATCCTCAATAGCATCAAAAAGACTGTTCTTATGATCCCTCTTTATTTGGACAACGGCAAAAGGAATACAGGTTAGCAAATTAGAAATTTGTTATGTTATATGTAAAGTTGGGGAATATTTTCCCCCTCCTTTGTAGATCAGCAATAAAAGATAAACGTTGTTGCTCAACAACTAGTCAGGTGAAAGGTTCTGTACTAAAACCACTTTCATCCTGATTGTAACTTTCTGTTTACTACAAAACAAGAAACTTATTCCCTAGGCCTATTTCTTCAACTGAAATTAACCTCGGCCTGGTACAGGAATCCCTCTAATTTGCACCTCTTACTCCTGATTCTTCAGGCTTGTTCTTCAATATTTTCTTCTCCTTAACCTGTCATGCGTGCTCTCCTCCCCACACAGACTTTAAACACGCAGCATGGTGCTAGTCCATTCTGCTGCCATTAGAGCCAGTATAAGAGCTTCAAACAAGAGCCTTGTACTTGTGTTTTTGTGAATAAATAAAATACACTTAAATGGTGCAGCTCCTTTGAAAGCCTCATGGCCATTCATCCCTAAGCAGTTGCCATTTTTCAGTACGTTGCTTTCAAGACTAGGAGGCACTTACTATTGATGTTTTTATCCAATTCATAAGGCACTGTTTTGGAGCTCCTATTTTTCCAGCATGTACATATTGCAAGGTATATGTATTTATACTACCTAAGGATCTGATCTATAAAAGATGCAACTGCAGCTTCGTGATTAACCACATACCATTTCCCCTTCCTAGAAGGGCAAAATCTCCTTCTGGCTCACTTAAGATAGAAAATGAGATTTGCTTAATATGAATATTTATATTATTAAAAAACTAACAGGCAAGTATGACAAATAAGTTACAAAAATGTTTAAACAATATGTCTCACTGAATATCAGAGCACATATTTGGTAATATGAGCAGGAAGTTTTTCCCTTAAGACACAGAGTACGCTCTATGAGCATGCCGTGCACTATCATGTAACAGAGACAGAATAAGAAGATGGTATGAAATGGAAGGTAACAT